GCAGATACTGGGAAGCTTGACCCTGGAAGAAACTCACATGGGCACGTTCGGTTGCATGTTTCGCAGCCCTACAAAGTGACACAGAGGTGGGGCAATTATTAGTATGCGTTAAAGCCTAAATTATGTAAACTTTGCTTATCGATGAGCTAGGTACTTGGCTTCGTTTGGAAAATACCTATTTAATCCTAGAAGTGTAGATACAATGAGTATTTTGGTATGTTGCATTTGCTCGATGTATACTCGCATAAATTAGGTATTCCTTGGAAATGCAGGGTAAATGTTTCCCTCGTGTAGTTCGATAATAAATAAAATGTGTTCTATGCCTACTCTAAAGTACAGCCCAGTTAACTGTTTTGTGCTTGAATGGCCCGTACTTATGTAGTGAGAAAAACTCAGATGCAGAAGGCCGTGCAGTTTTTTTCCCTAAAATATATCAAACAATTAAACAGGTTGACAGTCGAAGAACGCATGATGGGCAATGACGGTGGCTCAATGATTATAGGTAGAGAAATATTATTGACAGGAAGGAGCGAGACTGGAATGACTACTTCTGACTTCCTAAGTTCGTTGCTACAACTCGTTTGATCCAGTGTGAAAAAGGTGGCGGTCCGGGTTGAATTTGAACCCACGATCAAATTCATTAAACTCGCGGTTCTTGATGGAGCCCCGCGCTTAGAACGTTGGTCAGAATTAAGCCTTTGTCTTGCTGGCGTGGATTCGAATCCTTCAAAGGCCGCTGGCTTTTCTTATTATAAAGTCAACTGTATCACTCAAATCAATCTGAAATCCCTATTATTTACTTCAGTAAAAAGACTCTTGCATTGTCTATTCAACAGTTTGTCTACCTGTCAATTTCATTCATATTGGCGGGTGCTTGCTTCACTACAAAATTTGCAAGCATAGCTTTTGGACGAGTTGCACCCTACATTTTCTCTTCATTCATATGCGCGGCAGTCTTCGTCACTTTTACAAGGACCAATCTGTAGCTGGAATGGAACTTACCGGAAGGCCATACGGAAGGTGATCAAGTCGACAGCTTGAAGAAGGATTATTTTCTCCCTGTCAGCCTCTGCTATCGAAGCGAAGCCGGGTACAAGATCAGAGTACTGTCGAATGACCTCGATGGACTCTCCCAGGTTCTTGACAACCATATCAAGGCATTCGGCTTCATCCTTCTCGTAACCCTGGATGGAGGGAAAGGGGCGATGTCATATACTTTTGCTGAAATATCTCTTGTGCTTTCAAAAAAATGACACTGCTTTATTTGTGATCGGAGTTCATGAATTTTCTGATTTAGAGGTGCTGCGTCGGGTACACAGGTGTCCGAAAATCAGGTACTCATTAGTATCTCAAACAGATTGCTCTATAATGGCTTTGAAGTATTTAATGACATGAAAACCAATTCCATTAAGGTAATTTTGGCTCTTATCGGTCATTATCTGGAATGCATTATAGACAATAAGACGTGGACTCCGTTACACACGTGTCCGATAAAACATCTGAATATAATACTTGCCATGGGTGATTGCCAACAGAAAGTAAGCAATGAAAACAACGCCTCATTTCCACCTGTGACCTCCTTGGTAATTGGAAAGGATTCAGTTTATTTGGTAAGGGTAATATGCACTGCCTTTGAAAACCCTATTGTCTGCATGCCGCTGCGTTATATATATTTAAGAAGAATATCTGGCGAGCATACGTAGCTTTCAATAAATTTTCCTGGGACCATAACATTTATGTAGGAAGGGGGTAAAAAGTAACACGCTGGCAATTATGCTCATCGTTATAGGCAAATTAGTCATGGGAAAAGGGGAAGGAGTGGGGTTTATGGTACTTGGCTGGTTGTGAGGCGATGAGGGTTCGTTGAATCCGGACAGAGGAGGGGAAGGGTGGGAAGGGGGAGGAAGCGCGGAAAGATGCATGCAGTTATGTAACCGTTCACTGTACCAAGCTGGGGGCTTGCAGGAGGTTTTTATGCGCACACAAAATCGCCAAGCTACCCAAAATCCCTAGGTCAGCGTTTGATAGCAATAGCAGAAACAACGGCGATCCGGTAGAGGAAGCCGGTTTTGTGCGCGCAAAAGAACATCCTACAAGCCCCCAGCTTTACATGGCCAACGGTTACATAACAGCCTGCATCTGTCCGCGCTTCCTCCTCCTTCCCACTCTCTCCCTGTCCGGATTCAACAAACCCTCATCGCCT